TTTTCGAAAATTTCAAAACTCCCGAAAATCATAAATTCCGAAAAATATGAAAATTCCGAATATCTGAAAATTTGAAAATCTCGGAATTTCGAAATTCTCAAGGTTTTTCAAATTCGGAAAATCTCAAAATTCCATAAATTTCGAAAAATCCAAATATCTGAAAATTGTGAAAATCTTAAAATTTTGGAAATTTCGTAAATCCAAAAAATCTAAAAACCCCAAAAACCGAATATTCCGAAATTTTGAAAAGGAAATTAAGATGTAAGAGGAAATGAGTTTCTTTTTTTAAAATACGCTTTCTTTAAAGCTTAAAATGTGACAAAGGACCTTAAAGAGCCAAAAATGTGAACAAAAAACGGAAAAAAAAATGTTTTTTGGAAAAGTTTGAAAATTCCAAAAATCTAAGAATCCCAAAATCTGAAAAAAAGTTTAAATCCGATTTTCAAAATTTTCAGAATGGTTAAGTTTAAAAATTTTTTCAGATTTTCGGAATTTTTGAAAACTTGAAAATTATAAGATTTTGAAATTTTCAATTTTTTGGAAATCTGAAAATTCCGAAAATCTCAAAATCTAATAATATATATAGAAAATCCCAAAATCTAAATAATATTCAAGGATCTGAAAATCTAAAAATCTGAAAGTCAAAGTTCTCGAAATTTTGTGAATCTGAAATTTTTGAAATGTTCGGAAAACCTAAAAATTCATACAATCTCAATATCTTGGAAATTTCGTAAATCTCGAATCCCTGTAAATCTGAAAATCTGAAAATGTTGAAAATCTCGAAAGTTGTTGAAAACCTGAAAATTCCGAATATCTGAAACTTCAGAAATTTCGAAAATCTAAAAATTCTGTATTTCTGAGAGCCTTGAAATTTGGAAATCTCGATAATTTTAGAACTTCCAGATTTTCATAATTTTCAGAATTTCAGATTCTTGTAATTTCAAGATTTCGTAATTTTGGAAATCTGAAAATCTGAAAATTTCGAGAATCTAAAACATTTGAAAATCTAAAAATTAAAAAATCTGAAAATACTTCCAGACACTCTGGCACCCGATTCGGCGGTCCACTAACCAGTTTCTTTGAAATCCACCCGACACTCAAACGAATCGACGAGGCGAATTCGATTTATTGTAATCTAAAACTTCGTACCATGGCCTACGGTATCAGTTTCAAAACGACAGAATTGAAAATTGGAAAAGATTTTGATGAGGTCCTGGATATCGAAGTATGGGGATGTGCCGGTCAGGGAACACTTGCCGAGCAGCAAAAATTGAAAAATTGGCAGAAACAGCAGGTGGGGAATTTTGAATTTTGGAAAAAAAAATTTCAATTAAAACAATTAATTTTAATTTAATTATTTTTTTAATTTTTAAAAATATTTTTTTAATTTAATTTTTTTTAATTAAAAAAAAATTCCAGACCGAGAAGCACAAAAAAGTGCCACTACCTGGAAATTGGGATG